CTGGCTATCCCTTAAGATGTTGGCGTTGGCCAGTCCATTAAGGATGGCCTCTTTAATAAACTTCTCTAAGATTTTCTAATCTGGTACAGTTTAGGGAGTAAGCAGGACTTAAGCAGGCCACAACACCTGGAGAATACTCCTTATATGTGTTTCCCAAGAAGCTGATTGTCCGAACCCTCCTAAAATGTCATGAAAAACACTTAAATATGCAATATAAACTTCAGGGCTAAGTACAGACAGTCAAAAAGCCCAAGGCAGAACCAATTCAGTCTTTGCAGGGCAGCCTAAGCTTCAGAGACTAAACAACTGGATACACATTTACCTTTGAATCAAGAAATGCAGCCACATGCCTGTGGTGGCTCAGGACAGAAGTGGGGTGGGGGGGCTAGAGAATGGCTCTCTGGCATTTCCTTTTCTTGCTGCCCCCAAGGGCTCTGGGATTTGAAGTCCTGCATCACAGAAGCAGGACTCTGCAGGGTTGGTCATCACTTCCTCTTCCTGTTTTCAGGTGTCTCTGGGATTTATAGTCCACAGCCATAGCTGGCAGTAACATTCAGTAAATTTAACAGGGCAGGTCAGCTCTGTATTTGGGGGAAGCTGGGTTTAACCATCCTCCCTGGCTCCAGGCCCCAGCCATGGTTTGCCTGGATGGGGCAGTCCCTGGCTGTCCTCCCCACCCTCCCAACCCTTCTCTGCTGGAGCAGACAGCATATCCCAGCCCAGGGCTGGAAACATGCTGAGATGCTGGGGAACTATGATTTAACTTGAACCAGGAAGGGATCTGGGACAGAAGTTTCATGAACTGGTTTGACCCAAATCAGTTAAGTCTGATACTATATTCAACCAGGCTTATATTAAACCATTTTCAGGTATTTTGAAACTGGTTTATGTACACTGAACTTCTGTTCTGTTACAGGTTTAAACCAGTTTTTGATCACTTAAACTGGTTCATGTGTAACTTCTGTCCCTAGCCTAGGAGAGAAAAGCAATGTGATAAATCAGACTCAAAGGGCTAGATCCAATAAAGCACTTAGGTACATACAACTTAGGCTCTGTGCTACATACTTTTTAGGCACCTGGACACTGAAGATGGAGCCCAGAGTAAGATGGTTAGGTTCATTTTGTGATATAGGAAGAGTTTGGCGCCTCAGAATGGCATCCATGGTGAATGGGCAACTGCATAGAGAAAGCCAGAAAGTAATACTGAGGCTTGGATTCTGAACTACTTGTTTGGCATCTAAGTGGACTCAGGCACCTACGTGTGATTCTGTTCCACTTTATTCAAATCCAGTAATGCACCTAGACCATCATCTTACCTTTAAGAATGAATTTCAGAACAGCAGTGAGGAGTATCCATCCAGCTTTCACACCTAACTGGTGGAATAGAATCTGGCTTTAAGGGCAGAGCTGTGTCTGAAGGCTTGCGTCCCCCAGGAGCTCAGACACTTGACTTCGGCAGGTACTTTTTTCTGCATTACTTTTTTGAAATAGCCAATCAGGATTCCCTGTTCCCTTTTAAACTTGCCCAGTGAAAGAGTTAACACCTATTATCACCACCACCTCTTTCTGCAACCATATTTTTAACAAAAATACCCCAAAGTGCCTCTGTTCAGGTAGATGTCTCTGAGCATATTTATCAGACACATCTGTAAGGACTGTTCTCACTAGTTTCAAGATCCCGATCAGGTCTAGGCAGGAGCCACATGCCCAGTTGGCTACAACTGCCCAGGTCTGAACAAGAAAAGCTACAGGCACCTGTGGAATATTCAGGTCAAACGGGGAGGCACCTCCAGACTTAGACTGCCACTGAGCAGGACATTTTTGGATCCTAGATGGACTTCAACTAGTAAAGCCTGCCTAAGTTATTTACTGGTTCTAGACACAAGGGTTTTAAAAATACAGGAGCCAGTTATAGATGCAAAAAGATACCCATAAAAAAAGTGTTCTTATTTTTTATGTAAGTAAGGCCCCCTCTACACATGCAGGTAAAGGCGTGATGGGATCTAAAGCATGATTCACATAATCATGCCTCCTGCCGTGCCACACATGCATGGCAGTAGGTGTGACTGTGGGATCATGCATTAGATCTCATTGTGCTTTATTGTTGGTGCAGGGGCAGCTCCTGTGGCTGGGAGCTCTACACACTCCAGCTGAGGTGCTTCCAGCTATGGGACCACTGCTTGCAACTCTGGGTCTGGAGGATTGCTGCTGTGGCAGTCTCTCCACCCTGGGGGTGCAGGAAACCCTGGGACCAGGGAAATCATTCAGGGGGCTGGAGGTTTCTCACATCCTGGAGCCCAAGACCATACTACATATGCAAATTAAACCTCAATAACAACTAACTATATGGTACATATTTTTAAAGTGTATGGTACATACACTTTATAGCTGATTGGAGCTTTTTATTGTGTGACAGGTACTTTACATATGTAGCTGGTCTCCAGGGAATTTTGCAATTAACTAGTTAATTGCACAATACCTGTAATATGTCGAGGGGGCCTATTAGTGAGCCAAGTCACTGGTTCACATAAATCTCATTTGGTATAGTCTGAAAATAAACTGAGCTCAAAGTGTACATGAGTAAATTTACATACAAACATTGGACACCTCTTACCACAACATTTAAATATTTCTTATTGGTCTTACTCTATAAAATGGTCTGTTTGCATCAACCAAAAAAATATAGAACAGATTCCACATATGAATGCTTACCAAAATAATGTATCATATTAAATAAGTGGAGGTTATCACAGTGTCTCATACAGTCTACTCCTTTTAAATTACATTACACGCTTCTTGATTATGGGTTAATAGTACAAAACTATCTCCGCTTTGTTCCACACGTGCACCCACAAACTCTGGGTGTTCTTTGAAGGTGATACAGCAGTAATTTAGATAGACTTGAATGCCAACAGAGTCTAATTCCTTTTTTTTCTTTTTGTAATAGATATTCTACTAATGTCCATTGAAAAATATAATTGCTTTTAGTTTGTCTACTCTGAGCATCAAATGTCATGTCTGACCATTATCCAGGATCTGTGGGTTACTTTTTTATTACAAAAGAGTGCATGCTCAGCAGGGAATGATCTCATATAGTATTTGGAGATGTATGTGTCTATATTCCTTCAGAGAGTAGAAATGAAGCAATTGCCTTCCTTCACTTAGCCTGCTGGGATCTTGGGATAGATGCTAACAAGCACTGTCTGTGGAAAAGCCTATAGCAACTTTAGTTCCAAGCTTTTAAACATAAATTGCTATAGGGGACTATTGGGAAAATACAAAGAGGAATCAAAGAATGAAGGGTGATTAGATGGTGAAATGACACATGCGAAAAATGGCAGTGCCGTGAAAGTTTAATGATTGATATAATGTTAATGAGCATATGGAAGGCATTATTTGATATTATATTAAATGGTTTCCATTTAGTGCAACTCAATAGCTCAGATGAGAGAAGGGGCACATCTAGGGCAATTACTGACTCAACCCCCTTGCTGCTTTCTAAGCAAAGGTGTTGAGGGACACTTGGAGCCTTTTAATTCAAGATAAGCCTACTAAATAGCAGACTTCCTAGCTAGTTCTGCAACTCCTCCCTTCACTTCTGGGTTCTTTCTCCTCTGCACTTCCCAATAGTTTCAGTTTCTTCCATGGGCAGATCCAGGATTTTGTAAAGCGGGAATGCGAAAAACCGGTGTTGCAGGTAAGAATCTTCCCTCCTTGCATCCTTCCTCTCTATGCTTTGCAGCATGCCCCCTCCCTTCCCATTCCAATCCTCTGCCTCTCCTGCCTGTCACTGCTGCTGTCCCCACTATCCCTAGCTGATCCAGGGGTTGTGGGGAGGCTCCAGAGCCCCTCCTGCCTCACTTCAGCTAGGTGGCACATGGAGCCAGGCCTGGCCCGAGGCAGCAGCAGTGGTGGCAGCTGGCCAGTTTCCTTTCCCTGTGCC